CCAAAACGTGGATCCCACTCCTCCATGACAAAAACAAGAAGTCGATTATGCAAAAGTTCCTGAACCCATAACGTCTTGTCCCATCGCCTTCATTCTTCTCTGCAAAACGCTCTTTTGCTGGTCCATCCTTTCTCAGCACTTAGCCGCAAAGACACCCGCAAAGCACTTATGTCCCCCGCACAACTCAAAGCATTAAACAATCCATTGAACCAAACCTTTCTGTAAAACTCCTCTTCATTTACCTTCCAAAACACGGATCATTTCGTAGAAAATCACCTTCTTTGTTGTGCGTCCGATTTTATCCATCCGACTACGAATCCTACCAAGACAAAACAAATTTTCGCATAGAACAAACGTACACGTTTCATGCCCACTTCGCAGGTAATACGCTTCTGGGCATGGTATTTTTTCTATTGTTTCTCTCTAGAAACTTAGCACCAGCTACAGTGAATTCCTTCCGAAATAACAACGTGCCCCCCTGCTCTGGGAGATCCGCCCCCCTGATTTAAGGGTTGGAGTCAGAACCACAGACCAAAAGAACGACATTCAAAATTAATCCAGTCGAGACCCAAGAAAAACATTTCTCCTGCAAATAAATCCCGACGAAACACAAAAACCAAATCCAATCCAATCCCAAAATGTTCGCAAATCCTACTGCAAAAGACCAATTCAATAACAAAGCCAAAATCCAATCCAACCAACACAGAATCCAATCCAATACCAAAACAATGACATTCGAAACCCCTACATTTGCCGGCGCATCAAGCTCCAGCGCTTAACCCATTGCCCAAGCCATTGTTTCTCCCCCCCCAGCGGATATTTCGCACGCCTTCGCCGCGGTCGTCTATCTCCTTTCATATTTTCCGGCTGGCCGCGGCTCGAGCTTGGATGTTTGCGTCCGCCTGAAGTGGAGGAAGAACAATTGTCGCTCCCGTAGGATTGACTCGGCGGTGGTGTAGGGCAGGTCGCGCGTTCGGAGGGAAAGATGGCGGCAGGTTAGTTCCGAACAAACCAGCACTACTGAGGAGAACCACATACCATGAACATTCCCCCCGGTTCTGCACAGTAGTGACTGCAGCAGAAAAGTCAACAAATGAGTCACACTTTCAAGTCGTCGGGCCCTACTAGTGGAATGGTTTGTCTGAAATTACCGATCACTGTGACATTGCCACTCAATAAATAGCTGAATATCATCCTGAAATGGAGGTTGATTAGTCCTCTATCACAAAATAATAATACAGCCGCTGCTCCTGTTCTAACCATAGGGTAATCAGTCCCAAGTCACAACTTTAACAACGTGGCACTGCAATCTCACCACAAATAGTAGCCTCAAGACAAAGTGTAACAATCTTCGGAAATCAGTATTTCGTCTGTGCTACTGCTGTATTGTGGAATTTTCATCTGCAACAAAAGTGGAGGTACCAATGTTGCACGTCAATGAGACTTGACACGTCTCTGGTACTCGCTGACATAACCAAGACATGAAAAAAATTTGATCAGGTTAAAGCTGCTACCCGGAGAGAGTCCAGATAAAACGTTGATCACGCATTTTTGACCAGGCTAAACCTGCTGCTCAATAAGTAGCTACCAAAGAGAGCCCAGATAAAACGTTGATCACGCTATTGCCGGGGAGAGAAAGTTGGTCTCAGCACGGCTGTCAGGATGACAAAGCAAAAACCTCGCCGATCACTGCATTTCATTACGCACAATACTATTTCTAATACCATGCTACACGCACACATCATATCATCAGTTTAGAAACTGGCATCAGTTTTTGAGGATTACTGGTAACCTAGGTTGGGTCTACCCATGTGCTACAGGTAGTCGGCCTTTGACCGAGCGGTGGAGTTTGACGGCAGTACCGCACGACGTATTGTCGCGTTTTGATTGAGTAAGCGTTGGCGTTTGACGGCATTACCGCGCAGCGTGTTGCCGCGATTATACTAGAGAAAGAGTAGGAGAGAGCGTTTGACGGCCGTGCCGGGTGGAGGTGGAGGTGGAGTCAGCGTTGGCGTTTGACGGCAGTACCGCACGGCGTAATGCCGCGTTTAGGATCTGAAGGCACGATGTAGGCGTACCGCATCACCGCATGGTGTACACATATCGACAGCAGCCCAAAACTGACAAGTCATCACGTGCCTGTTTATGCCTACAACCCCAGTAGACGGCGGGGCTCAGCTGGCGATGGCGCTGCTGTAAGTCTTGGGGTTGCTGCTGCTGTGCAGGCCCTCGCCGTTGGTGGCCTCTCCGTCTGGTTGGGTGTCGTCAGCCGCGCATGCGGCTGCCCATCGGCGCTA